TTTTTTTTTCAAAAATGGGATTTTTTTCGAAAATTGTGCTGATTGTACAGATTTTTAAAAAAAATGTACGGATCTTTAAAAAAATGTACGGATTGGTTTAAAAAAATGTACGGATTGTACGGATTTTTAAAAAAAAATTGTACGGATTGTTTTTCGAAAATTGTACGGATTGTACGGATTTCTTCTGAAAATGTACGGATTTTTGTACGGATGGGTTCAAAAAAGTTTTGGCCACCCTGATATGAGCGAATGAGCGAAGAGCTTTATTATATAGAATATAATTTTATCGATTTAAAACGTAATGTGAAAACTAAAACCCCGACAAATCACAACAAATTAACGGTCTTTATCATAGCTTTAGATTTCTAAATGAGGAAAACTGATGGGTTGCTTTTGAATATGTCTAAAAGGCTAAAGAAGAAAAAACATAGTTTGATATTTGAAATTGTCCTAACTAGATGTTATGTTGGTGCAAATCATCCTATTTAACTGTTTTCTATTTTCTTCAGTGGGACTGTGGAATAGGGAGACGATTGTTAGACTCACGTAATGATTTTAAATAGTCCCATTGTATGTATCTATTCGATCAGGGTACAGGCTGGGATCTAGAGGAACCAGGGGAGGATGCGGAGAAGTATGACAAAATGATGCCAACTGTTGTCAAGCCGAGGAGGACATCAGTCTTCTCCATGGATGCTCTCCCCTTGGAGCTCGGGATAATCAGGTAGAGGCAATTTTCCCCTTGGATGCTCTTCCCTTGGAGCTCGGGATAATCAGTTAGAGGCAATATTCCCCTTAGATGCTCTTCCCTTGGAGCTCGGGATAATCAGGTAGAAGCAATATTTCTTTTGAATGCTCTTCCTTTTGAGCTCAGGTAGAGACAATATTGCCCTTGGATGCTCTTCCTTTGAAGCTCGGGATAATCAGGTAGAGACAATATAGCCTTAGGATGCTCTTCCCTTAGAGCTCGGGATAATCAGGTAGAGACAATATTCACCTTGGGTGCTCTCCCTTTGAAGCTCGGGACATTCAGGTAGAGAAAATATTCCCCTTGAATGCTTTCCCTTAGAGCTCGGGATAATCAGGTAGAGACAATATTTACATTGGATGCTCTCCCTTTTGGGCTCGGATAATCTGGTAGAGAAAATATGCACATTGAAGCTCAGGATTATTAGGTAGAGACAGTGTTCCCTTTGGAGCTCGGGATAATCAGGTAGAGACAATAAACCCTTGGATGCTTTACCTTTGGAGCTCAGGATAATCAGGTAGAGACAGTATAGTCTACTTTAAGCTCGGGATAATCAAGTAGAGACAAGATACCCCTATACCTTTGGATGCTTTCCCTTTGGAGCTCGGGATAATCAGGCATCGACAATAGTCTCCATGGATGGTCTCCCCTTGGAGTTATACTTTTAATAAGGATGTCTCAGACGTTCTTTTGAAGAATAGTTTTTACCTAATGTCGAAATTGTGATTTGATTTGAGTAGGGATAAAATTCAATAAAAAATTCTGACTGCTAAGTTTATCAATGATTCAAAAAATATTTTCAGGCAGTTTCCTTTCTCTTCCAGCCTGGCAAGGATGTCTGTTATCGTAAGAGAACTCAGCAGCTCAAATTTCATAATATTTACAAAGGTAAACCAGGGGGCAGAAACGTCATGTTCGTGTGTCTGTAGCAAAAGAGTGTGTGTAAGTTATACCGAACTGAAGTGTGTACTGTAGGTATATACAGTACACAGTATACAGTATACAGTATTAGAATCTCGGTATTTGTACAGTCTAGGAGAGTACATTTGTTTATTATAATTGTTCAGTTAAAAATAAGTTTAATGTACATGTAATATATTATTTATACATTTAAATCAACACTATATGCCAAATTTTCAGGCAAAGAATATAATTTGATTAATGTTTACAATAAACTACTCGTTATTCAAGTTTAATTATAATTAACGACATTGTTCTGCAATTTCCTTCACTGTAGTCATGTTGTATGTCTGTACCAAAAGAGTGTGCGTGTTTAATACCGAATTCGTCTGCAAAGCAGTGCTACTGGCATTCTCATGCCAGCGCCATTTCCTTTCCCTTTATTCTTATTCCTTGAGGTAAACTCTGGGGTTCAATAAGTGTTGAGACTTTTGCGCCAAACCCGTATTGTGCTGTGCAAGTGTGCAACCAGATGAGGAATTACTTTCCGATGTATTATTAAAGTAGCTTGATGAGCTTTCAGTTAGTTTATTGGTATCATTGGTATAACATAGTTTACCAATTACTTTATTATATTTACCAGGGGAAACTAAAAACAGCTCCATTTTTATCATATTTACCACGGTAAAATAGAAGCAGATCAAAATTTATGGTAATTACCAAAGGTGCTTCCAAAAAGCTCAAAATCTATAATTGTATTGTACAGGGTGCTCCAGAAAAGCTTGAGGATATCTGTGATCCTTCATCTATTCCTCATGATTACCATTCTAAGCTGAAGGAGCTCACCCTACAGGTGAACATTATAAAACTAGTATTTATAATAAATAATTGTTTTTATGTTATAAATTTTTTCACAAAACAATCCAGAAAATAAAATTTTACACAAATGAATAATGTTATTTATCATTACAAAATACATTTATTGTGATTTTGATTGTAATAGAACTCTGGGTTAATTGGTCACTTTGGGCCCATCTTTGCAAGCCTTTCATACATTTTAAAATAATAACCTAAAGAAATTTTTCGGATTTTTCTGATTTCCTTGGCGGATTTCCAACATTTTTGAAAATCGAGATTACTATGAGACATGACGTTTTTATTCAAAACCACTATAACCCTTCCTTGGACCTGTTCGAACGGTTTAACCGTTTAAACATTCCTTGATTACAAACTGTTTAACACAAAAACCTGGTACTATAGACTTTCCTGAACTATCCATTTCTAGGGATACAGAGTTATTGCTCTAGCTCAGAGACAACTGGACGAAAATGTTAATTGGATAAAGATACAGAAAATGAAGAGGTTAAATATAAAACATCCTTAAAATTCAAATTTAAACTTTTTCTTTCTTTCTTGAAATTTTACATTTTGTAACTAAGTATTTTTGTCAAGTTTTATAATATAGTAGAGTAATTGTCATACCTTTTAAATGAAGTTATGTACTTTGTTCTTAAGTATTTTATTTTAGATATTGCATTTTATATATTGAATGACTGACTGATTGATATGCATTATTTTAGGGATGCTGTGGAAAATAATTTACAATTTCTTGGTTTTCTGATTATGCAGAATACACTCAAGCCTCAAACTCAGGGGGTTATCAGGTACACATAGTACACTTAGGGGTTATCATGTACACACAGTACACTAAGGGGTTATCAGGTAATCAAAGTACATTAATGGGTTATCAGGTACAAATAGCAAGCGGAAAGTTATAATCCCAATACAGTAAACTTAAAAGTTATCAAGTACTCAGATACATACACACATGTTTTGAGTGTATACTGGTGAACACATTGCACTTCAGGTTTATATCAAGTGAACACTAACAGAATGCTCTGTAAATTTGGTTATTGTTTACACAAAGTACATTTAAAGGGTTACAGTACATTAGGTTCACGAAGTGCACTGTGTTAAAAGGATCATGGATCAAGGATCAAGGTGTGTCAATAATATGTTTGATTTATTTTTTAGTGAGCTGAAGGCTGCTGAGTTGAAGATTGTAATGATAACTGGGGATAATCTACTGACAGGACTATCTGTATCTAGGGACTCCGGGATAATTGATCCCGGAGATAGAGTTGTTATACTGGACGTTATTCATAGGCACGATACCATACACAGTAGGCTCCTTAGAAATTAAAAATAGTCAACCCTACATCAAGGAGACTAAAGACGTCATTTCATGTGACCCTCCATTTATAGAGTGTCATATTAAATTCACAACGCTACCCATAAAAGCCTTGTATGCTTAGGAATAACTGAGATCTCCAGTTATTTTCAACTTTGGGAAATAAACTATTTGCAGTTATGGTTTCTCTATTAGATTATTGGCTTAGAAAGTAATAAAGAAAAAAGTGCACCTGAAAAAAATCATAATCTTAAAGTTTTTTTGTGACTTAGTATGCGATCAGATTGCAGGTGGTCTATGTTATTTTTTAAATTACACACTGTGGTACCCATTAAAGTATGGCATAGGTAGACGACTTTAAGACTCAAATTATATGCTTAAATAGTAAAATACTTGGGGGGGGGGGGGGTGCAGATCTTCTTTTGATACTCCTGATTAAATACACATCAGAAATTCTCTTTCCGTTTACGTGCCTTTTATGAGTTATACTTTTATCACCTGAATGTGAATGGTTCGCGTGTAGAGATGAAACACTTTGTCTGGAGTTCCAGGACGCCGAGGGATTCCTAAACGAGGACATGGTTGATACAGGGAACAACGGACAGGTCAGGGGGATCATTCAGACACTAATATTTACAATCCCAACTTTTACGGAGGAACAGTTACAACGTTTTCAAGAGAGGGTGACATTCCCCTCCTTTCCTGTGGAGGCCAGGGTGACTTTACGCCAACTCCTATGAAGGGTTCAGCTCANAGAGTCTCAAGAGAGGATGACATTCCTCCAAATTTCTAAAGAGGAGGTCATTTCCCTCCTTTCTAGGGATGGTGCCATTCCACTAACTTTCTAGTTAGGTGACACTTATTACAGCCTGGCCCTTTAATGAGGGTGAGATTCCCTTAATAGTCTAGAGGGGGCCTTATACCCTAATTAACCAGGGTGGGTTAGACACCCCCCTTTAATATACGCCACTACAGCTGTCCCGTCTTAGTACCTCTATCCCCCATTTAATTATTAATAACCCGGAAATATATATTCCAGACTGCTGTGGTCCTGTCCCGGAAAACCCATCTAGCTGTGTCGGGCAAAACCTGGAGTATTCTCATCAAACATTTTCCAGATTTAGGGACAAATTTATTTATTATTTATTGTGCTTGATACCTTTTTCTAAGCCAATGTTACATTTTTTGGTTTGTACTAATGTTGCTTATTTTCCGGCTGTCGATTTTCATTAATACATTAAAGTAATTTGCAAAAGTAAAAATTGCTGAATAATTTTTACCTGTGGTCTCACTAGATTCCCAACCATCTAGCAACTAAGATACTTCACATTTTAGAATGATAACCGCGCTATTGAAAATAAATCTTGTAACTAGTTCCTCGTATCCTGGTTCAAGGAACAGTATTTGCCAGGATGTCTCCGGACCAGAAGGCCCATCTGGTAGAGGAGCTCCAGACCCAGGGTAATATGTCTTAGAAATAAGCCTTGATCTAAAAGGGATCGTGATGGCGTACCCCAGCTAGATCAAGGAGCCCACGGGAAATCCCTAGCTTCTTGAATTGGATTTGGATTCGCATTCGCATTCGCATTCGCATTCGCATTCGCATTCGCATTCGCATTCGCATTGGCATTGGCATTGGCAATTGGAATTGGATTGTGTAGTTAATCATGCACGTTAGTTAATTTCTGTATAGCAGTAGCAGTGCTATAATATCTGTATAGCAGTGCTATAATTTCTGTATAGCAGTGCTATAATTTCTGTATAGCAGTGCTATAATTTCTGTATAGCAGTGCTATAATTTCTGTATAGCAGTGCTATAATATCTGTATAGCAGTGCTATGATTTCTGTATAGCAGAGCTATAATTTCTGTATAGCAGAACTATATATTATTCATTGTGCTAAAATGTTAAATAAGACTTTCTTGATTCCCGGATCTTTCAAGTTCGGAACAAAATCTAATTTCAAAAATTATCAAAAAGCTTGAACCTTTTTGATAAAAGGAAAATATCTGTCCAAAACTACACCTAAACAATATTGTAACAACTTAATGAAAATAATAAAAATAAAAATTCAGGTTACATAGTATCTATGTGTGGGGACGGAGCTAATGATTGTGGCGCATTAAAGGCGGCCCATGTTGGCGTATCATTATCTGAGGCGGAGGCAAGTGTTGCGGCTCCCTTTACATCAAAAATACCCAATATATCCTGTATTCCAACACTCATTCTAGAGGGTCGGTGTGCGCTAGGTAAAATAGTTTTAAAACGGGTGGAAAATTCAAAATTAAAATTTAGATGATGACTTGATTATTATCATCGAATAAATTAGTTTTAAAGATATTTCAATATTTTTTCATCCATATTTTATGATAATTCAATACACTGCTTAATCTCATTTATGTTTACTGTTTAGTGACATCCTTCGGTGTGTTTAAGTATATGGCTTTGTACAGTATGATACAGTTCATTTCAATTCTCATCCTCTATACAAACAAAACAAACTTAGGTAGAGTATTATTTCATAGATCTTATTTCATTTTTTTACTTTTCCTAAATTTTTACTTCTGCACTAATATAATTTCATCATGTACAGGGGATGGACAGTTCCTGTACATAGATCTTGTAATTACTACAACTGTAGCTGTACTGATGGGTAGAACACAACCATGGACAAAACTAGTAAAACAACGACCAGTAGGTAATAGTTAGGAGTTACAACCTTAAACTTAATCTTTAAGAGCTAAACTTTTTTGTTTTCTTTTTCAATTGTTTAAAATTCTTTTTCGGAAATACGCATTACGCATGCAGAATCGATATGTAAAAAATGAGATCATTGCGAATCGTAAAACCTCAATTGATTCCGATTTAGTATATTCACATCATCCCGCTGTGAATATGGAAGTTAGACGTCCCTAAAAGTCTGATTTGATTAGACCTCCACTTATTATCCTAGAGTTAGAGTGCTAAATTTCACTAAAGAGAATTTTAGGTAGCTTGATATCTGGACAAACTCTTGCTTCCATATTTTGTCAAATTCTGGCGAGTCTAGCGGGTCAACTTACAGCTATGTTTTACCTTCAGGTAGTTAAGTTTGAAACTTTAAACACACTTTAATTTCCCTGTGTTTACCCTGGTATACCCCTGTATCCTGGATATATTTAGTGGTTTCCCTGGTATACTCCTGTATCCTGGATATATTTAGTGGTTACCCTGGTATACCCCTGTATTCTGGATATATTTAGTGGTTACCCAGGTATACTCTTGTATCCTGGATATATTTAGTGTTTACCTTGGTATACTCCTGTATCCTGGATATATTTAGTGTTTATCCTGGTATACTCCTGTATCCTGGATATATTTATTGGTTACCCAGGTATAGTCCTTTAAACTGGACGTATTTAATGGTTACCCTGGTATACTCCTGTATCCTGGATGTATTTAGTGGTTACCCTGGTATAGTCCTGTATCCTGGATATATATTTTGTTATTATACCCTGATTCACCCCTGTATCATCGATATATTTATTGGTTACCCTGGTATACCTCTGTATCCTGGATATATTTAGTGGTTACCCTGGTATACCCCTGTATCCTTGATATATTTAGTGGTTACCCTGGTATACCCCTGTATCCTCGATATATTTAGTGGTTACCCTGGTATACTCTGTATCCTGGATATATTCAGTGGTTACCCTGGTATACTCCTGTATCCTGGATATATTTAGTGGATACCCTGGTATACCCCTGTATCCTGGATATATTTAGTGGCTACCCTGGTATACCCCTGTATCCTGGATATATTTAGTGGCTACCCTGGTATACCCCTGTATACTTGATATATTTAGTGGTTACCCTGGTATACTCCTGTATCCTGGATATATTTATTGGTTACCTTGTTATACCCCTGTATCCTGGATATATTTAGTGGTTACCCTGGTATACCCCTGTATCCTGGATATATTTAGTGGTTACCCTGGTATACTCCTGTATCTCTGGATGATCCAGATGAAGAGATTATTGAAGATGCTCTCACTACAACCATTTTCATCGTTAGTTCATTCCAGTACCTTGTACTCGCTACAGTCTTCAGTACAGGTATATAATAAACAAATATGTTAGTTGAATTGTTAAATTTATATTTGCGATCAAAACTATTTTATTTCTAAAATGTTAAATGCTCTCGGTAAAAATCAAGTTTAATAAGTTGTTTTTTTTATGTCTGAAATATTAGTAAATTTGAAAGCAATGTTTTTCAAATAGTGGAAAAAGGAAATTTGTCCAAGAATATCTTTAAATTCTATCATCGTTATATTTTATGGTTACATGTTAAATTATTGCAGGACCCCCATACCGTAAACCCTTTTACACCAACTTGCTCTACCTTGGGGCACTCATCATCCTCGGCAGTTTCACCCTCTACCTGCTCTTCATCCCAGGGATCCCTTTCATTCAGATCCAGGAGTTCTTCCAACTCAAGAACCTACACACAGATTATAAAATATGGGTTGTGGTGAGTATTAAACTTTGTCGGCCATCCTACCCAACCTAGAGTAAACTGTCCCAAAAGGTTCTCGGTTCTACAAATCTTCAGATAGGTTAGGTAAAGTTGAGTAGAGTTGGTTTGGAACTAGAAATAGTGACTATAGTAAGTTACAATGGGGGAGACGATTCAAATTCGTAAAAATGACTTCATATTTACTTTAAAAATAGATGAATAGTCCAGATAACTTTAGGTTGGTGTCCCTAGCACCAATAACTAAATTTAAAACTTTGATTGAATTAAAGAAAATTTGACGGAAAACAGTCGCAAATCTATGATTTTGTTCTCGCTAAGTATTCGGAGATTTCAGTCTAGAAAAAATCGTTAAGTTCGTCTAATCAAAATGGAGAATTTTATCACCAAACAATATCCCCCCTCCCCCTTAGAGGCTGCTTATATTTATACACTTTTAGGTAATCATTCTCGTAAATATCGTGGTAAACATATTGCTGGAAAACTTGGTAAAAACTGGAAACTGGGCGAAGAAGATGATGCACTATGTTATCAGGTCAAAACAAAACAATAGATTCGTTATCAAGTATTTTATAAAATAAATTATCTCAAAAAATAAAAAATTAATACCTCCGGGGGGTTGGAGGTGTTAAATTCTTTATTTTATTTCTACAAGTCATACAATACAATACTGAGTTAATCAAATCTGAAAAGGGCCTCGGGGGGCACTTTACAACTTACGAAAATTTTTCATGATTCATATTCACTGAGCAAAAATAATATGAAAATCGTAACAATGGAAATAATAAACTGTGATAGTATGTATGTATTATGTATTTTTTTTTTTTCGATTTTTCGTAATTTCGTCGAATTTAAGAATTAATTATTACACTGTTTCTAGACATTAAATTGATTCATTGAATTGTGCAGGAAGACGACACCTAAAAACAAATACAAAATGGTTCTGCAGGAACTTGAAGCTGACCCATCCTGGCCCCTGACAGGGCTAACCTACACAGCAACCAACTTCAGCTGACATTGCACTACCGGCGCCATATTTAAAAATTTATATTCCGTACTGCAAATGTTTCTCTAAGGCACTAGAAATGCGGATGAACAGGTCTTTCCAAGTGAAAATGCTTACTAAAAGGGACTGTACGCGTAATTTCAAGTTACCCTTCATTTAATTTAGTGGCAAGTCTGATTCACAACGGTACCTTTTAAATATTTGTCGGAGAACAAGTTACAGAAATATCCCGATTTTTTTTTACTTAAAACTGATAATTTTCCGTTGATCTAATTGACTTGCGGATTTAAGCAGAAGGAACATAAGAAAGAAAATAAACAAATTAACATTTTTGAAGATAAAAGACTGGCGCTATCTTCCTCATTTCTTGTTTTAAGGGTACCATCATGAATCATGCATGTAACTTTTTCATAAAGGGGTCACTTGAATCTACGTCGACTGTCCCTTTAAATATTGCGCATTTAGATTCATAATCTTTATTATATAAAGGAATTTATAGAATTGTGATTATATGTTTCGTAAACTCCTTTAGTAAAATTTGTACACTAGTCAAATTTAATAAAATAATATATCTAGAACTCCGTTCAAATTATTCCATTAATGTTATGAAATAAATTTACTTGTTAACGACCTTAAGTACTGTAATTGTTTTTTTGTATAATCTTATTAATTTTTAGATTTTTGATATTTTCTTCTTATGATATTAAATTGATTTGAATAAAAATATTTGATGTAATGTTGTAATTCCAGATTTAATAAAATGGAGATGAAGAAATGAATATTTTGGAGTGGACCACCCATATTACTAAACTAGGTATCTTAATCAATTCACATTTATGGTGCTGGGACATTGTATAGATGACAACATCATAATTAGGTTTATTCAAAAATTGGATATTTCAGAATATTCACTATGGTATAAAATATAAAAAAAGATAATTTGAAAAAAGGGGAAAAAAATCTTCCTAATCTCTTAATATTCTATCCTTGTGATGACTCGTACATAAAATATCCTTTCCTTAAAGAGGATGGTGGGGGTGGGGGGTTACTTCTCATATTTATCCTTCAAAAAAATACAAATAAGATTACTAAGATATAATTACACAGAATTGGGGTTTCGGAATTCCAGTCAGTGTGTTCTCCAGTAGGGTTTCATTCAGTAAACTTTAACTTACTTTTCTAAATTTGTGTAACAGATCTGATTATTTTGTGGATGATGTTCTGATTTATTAAAAAAAAATTACAGAAAAAGGCATTTTAGAATAATTTTACCTCCCCCTGAAGGTTGAAGCCGTATTTCCTGGAGTAATCTGTGTATTGTATTTCGTATATTACTTCTACAATAAGGCCAACATTTCGATAATAACAATTCTCTGCTCAACATTAAATATTAATGCTATCATTTGAAGAAAATTTGAAACTAGTCGCATCTTCTCTGTATATATACTTTGCTTGTCTGTTTGTATCCAAAAAACGGCTAAACCGATCGGGCCCAAATTCTATTTCCATTAAATTTTGAAAATCCACGAAGTTTTTAGAAAATCCTTAAACTTTTTGTTTTTGTTTTACAATTTATACAAAGAGAAAATGTTCATAATTGAAAGAGAAGATGGGCGGGAAGCACCCTTGAAAAGCCTTGTTTTTATATCTAACCCAAATTATGTTTTCATAGTTTCCTGAAAGAAATCGCAATTTTTCTTAGAATGAATCATTTCTTAATGAGACTTAAGATATACTAGTTAGATTAATTTTTAAAAATTATTTGTTTTAGAACAAATTGTTTTACAGTTTTAATATTGGTATGGATCAAACAGATTTAAAAGTATATTGAAAAATTCAAATGTTTAGTTTAATGTTTCGTTTTATTTAATCTTGTTTTATATTGTGGTATTAAAAGTTAAACTCCCACCCACAAAACGAGCAGTAATTTAAGACAGCTTTCCTAACTTAGCAATGTAGAAGAGAATCAAGTTTTTGTATTTCGAAGCTTTAAACTCTCTATCAGAATTTTATTTAAGAAAATTTTAAGAAAAATATTTTTAAGTATAAAGCAATTTTATTTTAAAATTTTCAGATTTGATAATAATTATCGGAATCCTAAGTAGAGTCTGTCTTTACTTCAGCTGGGATACTTTGAAGCTAGTAGACACTAGAAAACTAGTTATTTCCTCATTTTACGTAAGTATTTTATCATTTCTAGGACCATTTAACTTACATAAAACTGAACTAGGAAGACCACATTAAAGCCATCTTATTTGAAGCCGTTGTACGCTACACATTTCCTGTTTTCCATGTTCTTGGACTAATTATTTTGAAAACATATCTTGAGTCTAACAGTCGTCCTCTTATTCCACAGTTATATGGGTCCCACTGTATTTACCATATAGAATTGTTGACTTTAAAAAAGTCAATACGATAAAATAAAAGAGATCTAACGGTATTTCTAATCTTTATTTATTAAAACAAAAGGTTATGAAATATTTTCCCAAGTGGGGCTTAAATTGATTGGTTTAGAAATTAATAAAGAAACTATAGACGAATATCAGTTAGAAGGTGTTTGTAGAGCTTCATGATGGTGATGCAGATCATCAATCTTGACGGCAGGCTTTAAGCGGGAGCTAAGGTGAGCGGGGATTTGACACATGTGGTGTGCTTGCTTCCTGTGTACACACACATTTAGAGAATTAACGTCGGCATTTGAGTCGGAAAAATCGTCTTCCTTATATTTCGAATTTGTTTTAACAAGAATATAGCTTCCTTTTATGTCCATATTAAGGTCTTTTTTGTGTGCTTTTTAAAGTTTTTCCCATTCTTGTATTTAATAGAGAAAACCTGAAAAAATTTGTTCTGTATTTTCAATCAACTTAAACCAAAAAAAAACATTTTTTTTCAGATTCCAACTATTTTCCATTTTGATTTTTGTTTATAAAAAGATGTGTTGCTAGGTTAATCTAGTGTTTTGATAGTGTTGATAGTTAAACCTTGTATATGATAAATATATTAATTTTATTTATCAGTTGATTTTCTCTCTTACATAGTGAAACAGTATTAACTATTCAGTTTATCTAAATATATATATATATAAAGTAGTAATCTCTGTTTGTGTTTTTATGTCCAATCATAACTATGAACCGTTTGACCGATTTGCCTCAAATTTTGATTGGGGAATTTGAAAGAACCATAGAAATGTTCTTATCTGGGTTTAAGATTCTAAGTTCAGTGGGTTCATTATTTTAGGGAAAGTACACTTTCCTGTTAAATCTGGGTTTCCATTTACCAAGCTTGTTTATTATTTTATCAATTAATAACGTTTCCTAGTTTTTCTTTTAAATAGCTTGTGTAGATAGAGACTAGTAGATTTTGTAGTAATTTAATATTTTTAGTAGAAAATATAATATTTTTTTCCTTGATATTTAATTTAAATTTAACTTTTCATAAAGAACAGTAACAGAAATATTTGAAAAGAGATAGATTATTCCCTTTTACCTAGTTCGCTTACCGGATATAAACCATGTATTTCGTAGGAGTACCTTGTTATATGTTGGGACCAGATATGCTCCTGGATTAGTGTACTGTCAGTACAAGGAAAACTGGTTTGTAAGTGGATTCTCTTGTACTTCTTTGAAACAGAGGATGTTAGACTGAAAATGGATGATCTCAATAGAAGGTTGGACAACATTTTTTTTTAATACAAAACTCTACTCGTTTTTTACAAATAACCTTTACAACGTATTAACCTTTAAACTAAATTAAACGAAGCAAACATTTAAGGGTCTAAACAAAATTAGTAGTATATTTTAAACGCAGTAAGCCTAAATAAATGAGTCTTTTAATTTCAACACTTTGGATGTAGTAAAGCATCAAAATGTAATTTGAAAGCATCAAAATGTAATTTGAAAGCATCAAAATCAACATTTGAAAGCATCAAAAGCAACAAGCAATCAAATTTGATGCCTTACTCGCTCTTTTTTGAGAAAATATTAACGTTCCAGTCAAATTTTGACTTAATGAGGAAGCATTGCTTTGCCTTGTCCTTTTCGGATGGATTTAACACCACAAATATTTCCTCATTCGGTTGAAAAACAAGATGAAAGAAATCCTTCATTTTTCTGGTCAAAAATCATTTTTGATGCTTTTTAGAACAAACCCTAGAAAGGGCAAGTTTTGGCAAGAGAGAAAGAAGATGCATTAAACCCCCCCCCCCTCCATACTTTTTGGGACAGAATGACTTAGGATATCCAAATTGCCAAACTTCTTAACAGTTTACTTGAAATAGCAAATAGTTAATGGCCTCAAATTAGAAGTTAATGGACTCTAAGTCACTTTTTTAAGGCTGTACTACACTTAAAATATTAAGGGAAATTTAAATCTGACTCTTAACAGAAAAACATTGATATGGAATGCTTACTTTGTCATTCTTTTTGACTAAGCAACAAACATTGTGACTTCTAATTTGAGACTTAGAAAGTGTCTTAGTCATAATTTTCTCTCCAAAAACAGGCTCAGACATATTTGTGAATTTTGCTTGTGACTGAAAATGTGTGTTATACATAATTAAGCCTTACAAAACATGACTTAGGAAAAGTTTTGTCTAAAGAGTTAGATAGTGTTTTTAACATAATTTGGTCTCAAAAGTATGACGTTGATGTAACCGTGACTTAGAACTGTGAATTGAAATATGTCTTACCATAACTTAGACATGGGTTTGAGTTATATTTGGGACTTAGAATGTGTCTTAAAGTTACTTAATCTGGATTCTGTGGCCATTATATCTTAAAGTGACAGTTTTGATGCTTTAGTATTTTCAAAAAGGAACATTTTTGATGCTTTCCTACAGCTTAATGATGTTATAGAGATTTAGGTTAATATGTAAGGTTACACAAAGCATCAAAAATTACATGTGAAAGCATTATAATTGTCCTAATTGATAATAAATAGATTAAGATCAGGTTTTAAGTTGTCCAACTTTATTTTGACGATGACTGTATCTAGTTACCTATCTAGTTACCTATGTGGGACTGGTGGCGGTAAAGTCCCAGCGCTTGGAAAGATACAGATAGATAATGCCTGTATTCTGGTCAACGGTGGACACCCTTTACAAACATACTCTATTCTATCCAGGGTAACGAAAACAATACATTTAAAAAAAACGTATTTTTTAAACGTTTTTTTCACTGAAGATTATTACAAAATTGTGTTTACCTATATTAATAGTATTGCTGTATTCCCTTTTTAAATTGTTAAATAACTTTTGGATTCTCGGAGCCCTGCCCTCCTACTCCTTATCTTAATCATTTATCCTACCTTTTCCTTTATGTGAGTGGTTCCAATTTCAAATATTTAATTCTGGAACATTTATGAATACTTCACTTATGACAATTTTTTTGTTTCATCCCTCATATGCCAATTGTTACTAAAAACATCTCAGCCATATTTTTCTCTAGGTGTCTGAGTGTTACTCTTGTTCTCTGAGTGTAGCTTGGAATAGTTCGGATAGTGGTAATGATGTAACTGCGTTCAACTCATTTCAAGTCAACACCAGATATTCTACTTTTTTAGGTCAATAATAAAATTTGGGGTTTTCAACTATCAAGGGTTTTTCAAGAAAGTTCAAACACATTTTTACCAATTCTTTTTTTTATTTTGAAGTTCACATTGTATTAACTTACTTTTGCTTTATGTATTTTTAGCAATTGTAGCGTATTTAGATTGCTCAGGAATCAATAATTTTAAACAACTATCCGATTATAATTTAATCGTTTTGTTGTGTTTACAGAAGGATAGTTTCTGTTTCGTTTTAGGTACAAACCAAATCTGTTCTCTAACCCTGCTGTCAAACCTAAACCTTATGTGTTGTTTGTATTCTAGAAGTACATGACCACACAGGAACTACACAATGCAGTACAGAGTTCAAATTTGGGCAGTACGGATTCTATAATTTCTCATTACACGACTGCTCCATTGTTTTAGAGGTAAGTAAGCAGAATTGGTGATAGATACTTTAAAAATCAAGAACATATTGCGTAAGTTCTAATTTTAAATAAATATTAAATACCTACTATAGAGTATTTGTTTGAATTTTTTTATTTAATTCTAGACATACATACAAAAAATTATAAATTTGATTATTAATGTCGTTTAACCCTTCTTCTGAAAGACCTCAAATTGTTCTACCAAGAAAAAGTAATTATAACTGGGACTTATTAGGAGAAACCTGTGAATGCATACATTCCCTTATTTTGGGCGGGGTTTGTATTGTGCCTTCTAGCTGGGCTGAGGTTGACCTACCAGGCTATATACAAAACATCAGCATTCAGGTAAATAATACTATCAAGATTATATTTTATACAATATAACAAATAAGGTTGTGAAATTTACCATTTTTCCAATCTTGATTTAAAACGCGTTAAATAATTTCTGTTATGCTAATAATGTCTTAATGTCATCAAATTGTATATAGTTTATTTGGATATTTCCAGACAGAGTTTTTGGGTAGGGTTTGGACTTTGGTTGTGATTAGAAGGGTTTTAGACATTGTCAGAGTTTACAGAAAGTAGTTGATTTTATTTTGAAGGGTTTTGTTCAGAATGTTTCTGGATTTGTTCAGAATGTTTCTGGTTTGATTTGGTTTTGTTTAGAATGTTTCTGGTTCGATCTGGTTTTGTTTAGAATGTTTCTGGTTTGATTTGGTTTTGTTTAGAGTGTTACTGGTTTGATCTGGTTTTTTTTAGAATGTTTCTGGTTTGATCTGGGTTTGTTTAGAATGTTTCTGGTTTGATCTGGTTTTGTTTAGAATGTTTCTGGTTTAATCTGGTTTTGTTTAGAATGTTTCTGGTTTGATCTGGTTTTGTTTAGAATGTTACTGGTTTGATCTGGTTAGAACGTTTCTGGTCGGATCTGGGTTTGTTTAGAATGTTTCTGGTCTGATCTGGGTTTGTTTAGAATGTTTCTGGTCTGATCTGGGTTTGTTTAGAATGTTTCTGGTTTGATCTGGTTTTGTTTAGAATATTTCTGGTTTGATCTGGGTTTGTTTAGAATATTTCTGGTTTGATCTGGGTTTGTTTAGAATGTTTCTGGTTTGATATGATTTTGTTCAGAAGTTTTCTGGTTTGATCTGGTATTATTTAAAATGTTTCCGGTTTGATCTGGTTTTGTTAAAAAAAGGTTTCTGTTTTGATATGATTTTGCTTAGAATGTTTTCAGTTTGATCTGGCTTTTTCAATAAAAGGAAGTTTGATCTGGTTTATTCAACATGTTTCTATAAGTTTGATCTGGTTTATTTTAGAATGTTTCTAGTTTGATTTAGTTGTGTTTAGAATGTTTCTAGTTATATCTGGTTTTGTTTAGAACGTTTGATATGATTTTGCTTAAAAGGTTTCTAGTTTAGTTAAGAATGATTCCATGGATTGATTTGGTTTTGTTAAAGAGGTTTCCGGTTTGATCTTATTTTGTTTAGAAGGTTTCTGGTATGGTTATGCCTTAGAACTGAGGTTCATAATGATCTTGCTTCTCAGGTAGATACTGGACAGTTAAGGTTAAGAAATCAGTAAATCTTAAATTTTTTCTGAAAGGAAAGTCTTAGCATTTTCATCAAATTTTATCATTCATTTTTCAACTTTGATAATTTTATCTTGTCTGATAAGTTCATATTTTTATCTAGTTTGCTGATACAACAAACCTCCTGGAGGACTCGGAGGTGGAAATCAAGCGCTCTAGAAGATTAAGGTAATATTCAATCTTTATCCAAACTTTTATTCTTAGAACTTAAGCCTTTTTGAATAAAATCTCCCAAAGGCATTTTATTCAGTGATTTTTTGCAGAACTGAGGATGATATTTATTATATGAAATATAAAACAATTTTTCTTCGTTTATTTCCAAGTTTGGTTAAGAGAGCATGATGTTAAAAAAAAAACAGGAGTTAAGAGAAAACTGGAGGGAAAAAAATGTCGTCTTCGTTTGTTCTTTCTATTATAATTTGATTATTATTATTATAATTAGCTATTTCTGAAATTGTATTCTACCAAACCTCATACGTCCCCGGTTCCATTTCTCGGCTTTCAGAAAGCTCAAGGTTTTAACTGTTTAACCCTATCCCCGCTGGGGTACTTAAAAACCAGGATACGCTGGGGGGGGGGTCAATTTGACCCCCCCCCTCTAAATCCCGTGTTTTATGTCCAAATATGACAAATGATACATCATTAGAAAGCTCTTGTGCTCTACTTTTAGAATCTGCAAAAAAATTCGCAAATTTGCGAAAATTGAATTTTTTATCGCAAAATCCAGTTTTATAGTAAAAATGTTTGCAAAAAAAATTTGTCCAAAAAATGACAAATTATACATTTTTGAAAAGCCCCTGACCATGCCATTTCAAATATGAAAAAAATGTTGCAAAATTTTAAATAACCTGATTTTTAATCAAGAAAAACTAAAAATGTGCAAATTTCCTTTGACAGGTTGTTTGCAAAAAATTTGCAATTTTTTTTTCGCAAAACTTGTGCAATCCGTTTCCTTATGTCATAGGCTTTCCAAAAAGCTAAATTTTATCAAAATCTGACAAGTGAAAGTGGGTCAAAACAAAGATTTAGTTTGCTACAGGCAAAAGCAGTCATTCAGGCAGTGTGTCTGAAGACTCAGGCAGTTAGTATTAAAGCCCGGTTTTAGGCCTAAAGGGAGGGCTTTGGGTATGTAAGAAAAGTCAGAAAATTTCAACAGCCTCAGACCAATACTTTTTGAGTTATGTAAAAAAAACTACAGGGGGGGTCAAATTGACCCCCCCCCAGCGGGAATAGGGTTAAAATGCCCGAAATTGACATTTGTTAGCGCCATTTTGGAAATATATATTTAGGGCAAATGAATTAAGGAAATTATCTAAATTAAGGAAGTATCTAATAAACGTTTAACACCAACGAACCTTGCCCTTTTTAGACGGGGGGGGGGATGCTTATCTTATCGTATCTCATCTTTTTATAGAATAATAATACATTTGCCTTAGATCTTTGGATGCGTTCCGTGGAATTGCAATCTCTGTGATGATCTTTGTAAACTATGGCGGTGGGAGTTACTATTTCTTCAATCATTCACCATGGAACGGTAGGTTTATCACGCAATTTATAATAAAGATATCCTAGACTGTTATCATAAGAAAACATTTATGTAATTTTTATTTTCATGTACTTCAAGGGGACTGTAGATTCTATTCGTAATTTTAAGTAACCCTTAATTCGTAAACTGGCATGTTCGATTCACAACTGTATCCTTTAAACTTTTGTATGATAAAGGAAAGCGGATCTTATTTGTTTAACTTAAAATTTGGTGCGGTCGAGAAAAATATTACGTCAATTGCACGGCGTGTACAGTTTGCTCTGTACATTGTACACAAGAGATTTTTTAACGGCAGTAAATTTTCAGTCAGAAAAATTAAGATATCTCCGTTATCGAAAATCAGAAACATTTTAAAGTATGCATTTTGAATTGAACATAAGGTGAACTTAAATTCTTAGTCTAAAGCACTTTTTGGTGAAAAGTGCTTTTTTTGGAAGTAACAATTCAAACCAAATTATCTTCTGTTTGAAAATAAAAGGGGAGCTTCTTGTACTTGACTTTTTCTGCATTTAGGGTTAACTGTGGCAGATCTTGTTTTCCCTTGGTTTATCTGGATTATGGGGGTCAGCCTTGTAATCTCAACCCAGTCACAGCTTAGGAACTCTAGGTCTAGGTTTAGGTTAGTATCTTAACCTAATCCAGCTTAGGATAAGTGTCTTCACCTGAGCACGGCTCTAGAGGTTCAGGTTAGTATCTTAACCTAGTTCCAACTCCCAGATAAGGAACTCTAGGTCTAGGTTTAGGTTAGTATCTTAACCTAATCCAACTTAGGATAAGTGTCTTCACCTGAGCACGGCTCTAGAGGTTCAGGTTAGTATCTTAACCTGGTTCCAACTCCCAGATAAGGAACTCTAGGTCTAGGTTTAGGTTAGTATCTTAACCTAATCCAGCTAGGATAAGTTTCTTCACCTGAGCACGGCTCTAGAGATTCAGGTTAGTATCTTAACCTTATCCCAACTCCCAGCTTAGGGAACTCTAGGTCTAGGTTTAGGTTAGTATCTTAACCTAATCCAGCTAGGAAAAGTGTCTTCGCCTGAGCACGGCTCTATAGGTTCAGGTTAGTATCTTAACCTGGTCCCAACTCCCAGATAAGGAACTCTAGGTCTAGGTTTAGGTTAGTGTCTCCCAAATGAATTATCAAGTGGCAACAGAGAAATGAACCATTTATACACGACGTCACAAGTAACAAGTAACAAGAAAAACGAAATTCTCACATTAGTTTCCAAGATTAAATAAAAAAGTGTAAAAACAGAAACTAAAGTAAACATAAAATTGCACTTTTTTACTGTAAGATAAGCACTTTAGTCAAACATTATCACTAATAATAATTTTGTCGGACACAAACTCTGTCGACACTTTTGACGTCAGAATACAGCTGTACTGAGAGAGTACAAATTCTACGTTGCCATCTATTGTACTAGAATCTATTTGGTTTCTCCAAGGAGCTAAAGGTCCAGGTCTAGGATAATGTTACCGGTTGGGTTTAGATATATTTTTTCTTCATGCTATCTCTCTGGCATATTATTTTAAGCTTTTACATTTACATTTACCGCGAGCATTTTGCCTAAGTACATAATAAAACAATAATATTATACAATTTCGCACCTTACCTTGTTTATTAGTATTTTTTTAATCTAAAATTGTGAGTAATAGTTTGAACATTAACCGGCTTTAAATTGTCTCTGGCTCATGTAAGATTCCATATAAAATGTGAACCTGATCGGTTCGACCGCTTCGACTTACATTGAATCAGAACAAACAAACCACCAACACTGTATACAATACATAAATGGATATATTTTATTTTAGAATAGTGCGGAAGGTTTGCATTAGATCCTTTATATTGATATTCCTTGGCCTTATTCTCAATTCAGATGGTGAGTAGAATGTTTAATTTTTGGTACTTTTTTGGACTACATTTTTCTAAATTAAAATCAAGATTACATAAGGTCAATAACATTATAGCATAAGGTCATAAGCATACCCAGCTACAAAACTTTTTCTATCGGAAATCAATCATATCTTAACTTCTGTATTTATGGGGATAATTTAAAACCATCTCCCAACAATACAAACAGGTTAAAGATTAGCTGATGCCAGAGTCTTAATTTTGAACTGTGTTTAGGGGCAGTTTTAGTGAATATTTTGATTGTCTAATTAAGATAATTGTTAAGGCTCCAGCATGAATAAGATGTTCTTTGTTTAACCTGAGATTGTATACTAGGTGGACGGAATGATCTGAGTAAGCTGCGTATACCAGGAGTTCTCCAGAGGTTTGGTATTTCTTATCTTCTAGTTGGTATTCCAGAAGCACTCTTCCTACCCAGAGAATACATTTCTACAGAGGGCAGAGGTAGGTTTTTATGCAAGGAAAGGAGGAAAAATAGGTACTGCACGTGCACGAATAATTGTTAAAAATAGGTACTGCACGTGCACGAATAATTGTTAAAAATAGGTACTGCACGTGCACGAATAATTGTTAAAAATAGGTACTGCACGTGCACCTATAATTGTTAAAAATAGGTACTGCATGTGCACGTATAATTGTTAAAAATAGGTACTGCATGTGCACCTATAATTTCTAGAAAGTAAATACTAATGATATCCAATTAGCCGGCCTAATGGTAATACTTGAGCTGAGAGAGTTTGATTTCTATTGTTCTTAAAGCAATCCTATCCTGTAAAGTATAATATGATTTTATTTGGGTAATCAGGGTTACACACAAAGGATGCGAGTTCAGAGACAACGTTACGGCATTTATTCAGTCGTTTGTTTACAATTTACATTCATGGTAACCTGCACCAGTGAACATTTCCTTTTGTTTTTCAAAATCATTTAGTTATACAATTTACAAACTTTATTCAAAGCAGACAACTCAATTCGGTTATTTACAGTTTTTTAGATTTAAAGAGTTTCACATCGTGATGAAAGTCTCTTCCTTTCCGTCCTTTCTTATATTTATAGTTATAACTTATTTTTATGCAGGAATGTTTGGTTGTGTGCTTGATTTTTCATCTGCCGGCTTTCAATGGTTCCTAACTTTTTTGATAGGTGATCTATCCTAAATTCTCATTTTTAGCTTAATCGAACTAATCTGACAGGAACTACTGTACACTGAATTTTAAGTGACAATGACAAGACCAAAGTGTTTACAATGTTGCCCATAACTTCTTTTTATGGTTATAAATGAAAGAAGGATTCCTGCTTTTTCATCTCAAAATTGATTATTTTCAATTATTAAAGTGACTGCCCTTCAACTATCAAAGTGACTTCCCGATTTATGTATTAAGATAAAAGGAAGAAAATATTAAAGAGATAATGTTTTTTCTGAAGTTCGGTTAAAACTTGAAAATACGACGACAATCCCTTAAAAATTCAATTTTAGACTAATTTTTGTTTTCTTTTGTCGTGTTTTATTGTGAAAATTATCAGAATGCATTATTTTTATTTTTTGATAATGTTCAGGGGGTGCACATGCCGCTGTCACATTTTTGCTGCCAGTGCCCGGCTGCCCTACAGGTTACTGTCGTCTTCATTACTGAAATAAAATTGAGCAGAAGTTTTCTTGTATCAGGAATGATATAATAGTTTTAAATAAAAATGCACAGAATCATGACGGGAAATCTGTCAAATCTTTGTTTTAAAAAAAATTTTAATTTTTAAATTTCTTTATTTCACTTTTTTTCAGGATATCTGGGACCTGGTGGAAGGGCCGAGAATGGAACCCACTATAATTGCACAGGTTAGGTACAAAGGTTCAACTAGGGGTTGACGACCAATCCACCAATCCACTCCCAAAAGCTTTCTAACAAAACGTTTCTCTTGCAAATATTTCCCAAATTTATAATTTGTTAAGGAAGCTGTAGTTATAGCTCGGTCGGGGGAGTCCACATTGGGAATCTTACCTAGATCTTACCTAGATCTTACCTAGATCTTACCGATCTTACTTAGATCTTATCTAGATCTTACCTAGATCTTACCTAGATCTTACCTAGATCTTACCTAGATAGTTACTTATTTGTTTATTTAAGTGCCGCTATATTTAAAGAGGGCATACCGGATTTACAACTGTACCCTTTAAACAGTTTTATGATCAACACTGTTCAGGATTTTGTGGGTTTTCTGGTTTTCCAGATAAACTGTATTTTAAAATTAAGAGAAAAACATGGATATTTTTTATAAGTCATAGTTCTAAAGAGTATCTTTGAATTAAGGGAAACTTGAAAAAAAACGACTTCTGTTCCTTTAAGGTGGAGCAGCTATGTGGATGGATGTATCTGTATTCGGAGCAGAACATATTTATCAGACTCCAACCTCAATTCCTATCTACGGAGGTTCTACTCCTCATGATCCTGAGGTTATTCAAGTTTACAGAGCTTGGAACTTTAAATCCACTTAATGGATTAAACTATCGTTAGGAGATGGTTTAACCGATCTTAACACTTTTTGTGTTGTTTTTATCATTACATTATTTTATTATTTTGTGGAATATATTATTTTGCTTATCGTATGATACAGCTGGAGTCTCAAAATAAGATTTCAGAATGAAAATTAGGTTAGGTCTGTATCTGGCTAAATTTTTAATCTATCTGAAGTTTATATCTTGCCACCATTAAAGTTTTTTTTGTATTTATTGATGTTTTTCCTAATGTTTAAATATAGCGGATGATTTCGTACAGGGTGTCCCAATAAACATGGGAATTCAGTGACGATTTCGATATCGTCTTGGTTATGAATTAGCGTTGCAATACCAAATTTCAAAAGCCATAATTTTATTATGTCTGCTAGAGTTTAATTTATGAAAACTGTAAATGGCTTTAAAGATGTGTCTATAATGTCTCCGCAAGATGAACAGTGAAGACGGACAAGTTTACTCTGTTTGTATACTGCAATTTTTCTTTTTGTTTTAAGTACAACTGTATGCAGTCAAAACATAAATAAACAAATTGTAAACATAGCAGACGAAAATCCTACGGATTACAGCTTTCTCAGTAGGTATCACTATACTAAATCAAAGAATTACTTAAAAAGACGATATCGAATTCGTCACTGAATTCCCATGTTTATTGGGACACCCCGTAGTATTAGATGTACGATACCATGTTATTAAAAAGTCATCTGAAATGAAATCAACACTTTCTTATATCTTTCTCTCAGGGTCTACTGGGCACCTTAAACTCCGTTGTACTGGTTTGGCTTGGTGTAGCTGCTGGTCGTATTCTACTTGTTTATCCAACATGGCAGGTATTTATCCAGAGGCCAAAACTTTTGTGGTTTCCATCAGCAGATCAAGTAGTTTCCGTTTTTTCAGAAGAATTCATAAAATTTAGAGATCGAGCACTGAATCTGACTTCTATTTGTTTGATTATAGCATATCGTTAATTTAATTTTTGGTTACGCGGATAAAATCTCTACCTCTGACCATAGGTCATCCAATACCAAATCCATTAAATCTGCTGTTAACTAGATAGTTCAGGATGGATATTAATTTTGTCCCCAAGAACACGTTGCTTTACCCTCGGCACTGATGATTTACAGCGTGGTCTACTCGTCATATGAATGGTTTACCCGACAGTGTAAACCTTGTAAAAATCTTTGACCAAGCGTGGATCACAATCTTAGCTTGTTTCTAGTAAAGGTTTTTTAAAAGATGATTATCTATCTATATAATAATTCATTCGTATATATATGTTGCCTATTGCCGGCCAAACGGCTGGACCGATTGGGCTGCAATTTTTTGTGGACACTCACGGGTGGTCGGGGAGGTTATAAGCTAAACAAAATTTGAAAAAAATAATTTCTACAGTTTTTTTTTCAACATCTCAAAATAGTAAAAAAACCGATTTTTTTTCATTAAAAAATATCAATACCATCCATATTCTTACACTAAATTACCTAGTCACAGTACTTTAAACAGAAAGTCCTACGGAATACATTTTTATATTTTTATATATGTTAAATATACTTTAGAGTCGTGTAAAGCGTTGGCTGCTATTTAGTCTGGTGACCGGCCTGATTTCTGGTCTACTTTGCAACTTCTCTAAGGTTTGTTTCTATTCTGTTTACCATGTTCGTAATTAAAGGGAGTGACCGGCAATGTGTGGTAGTAAACTGAGAATGTAGTGTTGTGGAGAATTTTTTAGGATTCATTTGAGACGTATGAAACGTTTTAATAATGTATAATTACTAAGTTTGATCGCAAAGTCGACGTTAAAAATCATCCATTTGGTTGGTTACGTTTTGAGAATCGATTTTTTTATTTGATGAATTTTTTTGCAAGGGAATTTATAAATATTTGTCTTCTTTAAAAGACATAGAAATCCTGTTGAAACAATTTAAATTTTAAAAATTCCATTTTCTAGTCTGCAATTGCATGTTTTTAATGACTAAAATAAAGTTTTAACTCTTTTAAGCTAATGATTTTTTGTTTAGAATGAGGGTATAATTCCGATTAACAAAAATCTCTGGTCTCTCTCCTTTATTCTGGCGACAGCATCTATGGCATTCTTCCTTCTCACGTTCATGTAGGGGATTAATCAAGATTTTATTTATTTTATCTATTCCCTTTCCAGTTCAAACTATTCAGGAAACAAATTTCTGTTTTTTTCTGTCAAGAAAATGTATTTTGCAATCCATGTAAAATATGAATTGATTTTATATTGAATATCCTTCTCAATCCTTGAGTTTAGACCTTGATTCGTTTATTCATTTCTTTTCCCATGATTAGGTTAGTTTTTTTCAGGTATTGATTTGATTTGATTTTTTTTCTTCAAAAATACTTAAACAGTGAAGGAAACATTTTCTCATCAAATAAATGCATAACTTTAAAGTAAAATGCCATATTTAGGTATCTTCTGATAGATGTTTTCAAGTTCTGGTCTGCTAGTCCCTTCCATTTTCCAGGAATGAATTCTATCCTTCTCTACATCGGGCATGAGATGGTTTCAGGGATGCTGCCCTGGTCTTGGAGACCATTCACAGGTATACCAGGACACCATTTATAGGTATACCAGGACTCTATTTACAGGTATACCAGGACACCATTTACAGGTATACCAGGACACCATTTACAGGTAAACCAGGACACCATTTACAATTACAGGTATACCAGGACACCATTACAGGTAAACCAGGAAACCATTTACAGGTAAACCAGGACACCATTTACAGGTATATCAGGACACCATTTACAGGTATACCAGGACACCATTACAGGTAAACCAGGACACCATTTACAGGTATACCAGGACACCAATTAGAGGTATACCAGGACACCATTTACAGGTATACTAGGACACCATTTACTGGCATACCAGGGCACCATTTACTGGTATACCTGGACACCATTTACAGGTATACCAGGACACCATTTACAGGTATATCAGGACACCATTTACAGCTATATCAGGACACCATTTACAAGTATACCATGACACCATTTATGGGTATACCAGGACACTATTGACAGGTATACCAGGAGACCATTCACAGGTATACCAGGACACCATTTACATGTATACCAGGACACCATTTACAGGTATACCAGGACACCATTTACAGGTATACCAGGACACCATTTACAGGAATACCAGGACACCATAACCAATTACCAAAATTTTATTTTATTATCTTTATTTCAATTAAAGAAGTGTCATGGTTCCAGATAATGCATTATTATAAATCACATAACTGATAAATATAAGCAAAACAGGATATAATTTGAAATTAGAATCTCTAACTTTTCCCAATTTTAATATACTCTTAATTTTCTAGGTTCTCACGGAGAGCTATTAGCTATGAATCTATGGGGTGCTGGACTTTGGATTGCTACGAGTTATCTTCTTTATAGAAGAAGAGTATTCCTTGCTCTTTGAATCCATCTTGCTCTTTGAGTATTTCTCACTTTTGGAAAATAATTCTTGCTCTTTTAAAGCATTCCCCATAATTTTAGAGACCTCCTCAAGTCGAGAATTCTATTTTTCTCAGAAATTTGCTCGAGCTTTGAGATTTACATCATCCTACTCTTGAACAACTTTTTGTTTTCTGATATTTCCTAAGTCGCAAAGATTTGATTGTTCTCCGAGAATTAAACGTTATCTGAGATTTCAATGTTCTCCAATAATTCAAAGTTCTCCTAGAATTCAATGTTATCTAGGATTTTAATGTTATCTAGGATTTTAATCTTATTTGAGAATTCAATGTTATCTGAGAATTCAATGATATCTGAGAATTCAATGTTATTTGAGAATTCAATGTTATCTGAGAATTCAATGATATCTGAGAATTCAATGTTATCTGAGAATTCAATGTTCTCTGAGAATTCAATGTTCTCTGAGAATTCAATGTTCTCTGAGAATACAATGTTCTCTGAGAATTCAATGATATCTGAGAATTCAATGTTATTTGAGAATTCAATGTTCTCTGAGAATTCAATGATATCTGAGAATTCAATGTTATCTGAGAATTCAATGTTCTCTGAGAATTCAATGTTATCTGAGAATTCAATGTTCTCTGAGAATTCAATGTTATCTGAGAATTCAATGTTCTCTGAGAATTCAATGTTCTCTGAGAATTCAATGTTCTCTGAGAATTCAATGTTCTCTGAGAATACAATGTTCTCTGAGAATTCATTGTTCTCCGAGGATTCAATGTTTTCTAAGATTTCAATGTTCTCTAAGAATTCAATGTTCTCTGAGATTTCAATGTTCTCTGAGATTTCGATGTGCTCTGAGAATTCAATGTTTTTCGAGAATTCAATGTTTTCCAATAATTCAAAGTTCTCCAAGAATTCAATGTTCTCCAAGAATTCAATGTTCTCCAAGAATTCAAAGTTCTCCAAGAATTCAATGTTCTCCAAGAATTCAATGTTCTCCAAGAATTTAATGCTTTCCAGCTGAGAATTCGATGCTCTCGGAGAATTTTTTTGAGAATCAATGTTTTCTCGGAATGTTATACATAAAATACATTCTTCTACCGTTTTAAATTAATTCCCTACTATTGATTTCACACTTAAGTTTATCTTATTTAGATGTAAGTTACCAATATAAGTTGGGTTAGATTTTTTTTATATACCGTACACTCTCCTTTCAGGGTTTCTTTTTTCTCTAATGATTATCCATTGGCAAATGTTCGAATTTCCGCCATTTAAAATCCCCCCTCCCCCCGCCCCACACATAAACATGTATTTCGTACTTACTTACCCGCGTCTCTTCAATTTGGTGAATACAGCTATTTCTAACTAACACTTAGTAAATACCAAATTTCTTATTTTATTGTGTAAATCTCATTTTCATAAAAAAGCATGACATAAAATTTATCTGCCTTGTTAAAATAATGATTAAAAATGATTATCTAATGTTGATGAGTATCCGGTTTAAAAATATCTAAAAACATACACACTGTGATCACTGGTTATTAGCCTATGTCAAAATCAGTCAACTTTTGGTACAGATAAGAGTGGTCGCTCATGTGGTGCCCAAGGACAGGTTTGTTAAACAAAATATTTTTATTTTTTATTTTTGACGAGCTTAAGGGTACCTGCTCGGGGCTTTAAGTTTAAAAAACGGCCGTTTTTTTGCGATTTTTACAATTTTTTAAAGCCTGAGCAGG